AGCAGCATCTTCTGACATTGCTCCTTCTTTCCTATATCATCATCTACTAATGCTAAATCAGAATCATATTATCTGGGTTAGATAGTCTGCCAAAGAGAGATAAATATTGAACTAGCTTTGAAATATTCCTTCAATAGGTTGGTTTCAGTCTAAGGGTACCATAAAGAAAACTGCATGCAGTAATACACCCTGACTATTGCGGAGAGCACAATGTTTGAGCTTTTCAGTAATGACTAATTCTAGCTGCCTTTCTATAGCCACATGCCCAGGAATAAGCTCCATTTAACTCAATGGAATTCCGAGTAAATTAAAGGTTGTATTATAAACCAACAGTTAAAATCTGAGAGGCAAAATGCCTCAAGTCACGGAAGGAAAGCAGATTATTCTTGAAAAATATATGATTTCAGTTACACTCATCAATTAGAAATATTCATGAGCTTGTAATGTATTTCTTAACTTCCAAAACAGCTTCACATAAAAATTTTAATTAGCCTAAAACACAAAGATATATTAGACCAAACAATATTTCTGCACAACTGAGATATGCATGCACTAACTTTCCTTGATGTTGTTGCACTGCTAAATCTCTTGATCTAATTGCCAGAGGAGATACAATTCCTAAACTCCAAATGAACATTTAGAATTAACAGGAAATTTAGCTCTTGTTACTTCTACAACTGTATTGAAAAGCATGAGTTGGTTTTTTTTATAAATGACTTGAGAGAGGAAGAGCAAAGAATCTTAAAAGACTCCATTGCTTATTTCAAAGACCTGTATAATTATATCCCCATGGGTTAGCAGAGGTATCCCTCGAGTCCAGGGTGATAAACAAGATAATGGATGCTTGGGATGATGTAAATATGAAACTGTGGCTACGGATGACAGGACCTTATAATTTTCTAAAAACCCAGTATATTGACCACGATATCTTCATCATCTGCTAGACTGAAGACTTCTCTGTCCTGTTTGGGTGAGATGGGCAGCTCTTCTTATACAGAGGAAATCAATCTTTTGCCATCGCTTAAAAAAAAGCATAATAAACTCATTAAGTTGGAAGGACTTCTGTCAGTTACCTCTGCAGGTATGTCAGCCAGCTCAGCTTTAGACGATGCACTCCTTGTTTCTCCTTTGCACCAGTCCTTGCTTTTGCTAGCAGTTTCTGATGGAGCTGTTAGGAAGAGGAAGATGCAGGCAAATAGAGAAACCATAGAGATAGAAATGTAGAGCAACGTGACTCCTGGATAAGAATTTGATTAGTGGTCTTTATAAATATTGAATATTAGATGTATAAGACCTAACGCATCATCCTTATGTTAAAAAGGGTTGCAGGAGGAGATGGTGACATGAATTCAGGGACTGGATTGGATTCATTTTTGTCTCAACCTGAGATATGTTTTGCAAGAGATATTTTTCTTAAGAGGATACAGGTTAGATTGGAACAAAATAGAGGCTGTTATCCTGTGAGGCTGCCTCAGAAGAATGACTCTGTGACATAGAAGTAAGACACAGAGCTTAGATGGTTAAAAAAAAGCTATATTTGTCATTACACTGATTAAGATAAATTCTTAACAACAACTGGGTTTTCAAAACCAATGTATTTTTCTTTCTTTTGCCATAGTATTATTGCCTTTGTATTACTGCCTTTATTATTATTGCTATCATATTACCATTTCTGAGATCTCCATTTAGTCTGTAAGGCACTGATTTACCTCTGAAGGTAGAACACAGAGGGGCAAAGAGTTGTGGTTAACTTCCTTTTCCAGACTAGAGCCAATTAGATATAGCACACTAAATTTAGGTCTTTCTTTTGCATTTATTTATTTCTCATGGGAGACCTTAAGATCCCCCATTTGAGATTCCTGTTGTCTGAAACTTCATTTTCTTAATCAAAATAAAGTTTAGGCCTGAACATAGCTCTGAGTTAAGTTGGTCCTTGATCACTGATATCTTTTAGATGTATCAATTGTTACTTATAGGGATGCTTAATTTTACTGAAGGAGTGGCCAAAATGTAGTGTATAAGGTATCTTCAGGATGGACACATTCACATATATTTTCTTTCACATGTGCTGCACTCATAGAACATAGAATAATAGAGTTTGGAAGAGACCTTGGAGGTCTTCTAGTCCAACCCTCCTATTCAATGGTTGTCCAACCTCTTTTTGAAAATCTCCAATGAAGGAGCACCTGCAACTTCTGGAGGAAAGCTATTCCACTGATAAATTGTCCTCACTGTCAGGAAATTTCTCAATTCTAGGTTAGATCTCTCTTTAATAATCTTCCACCTATTACTCCTTGTCCTGTCCTCAAGTGCTTTGGAGAAATGGTTGACCCTGTCTTCTTTGTGACAGCCCTTCAAGTATTGGAAAACTAGTCCTTCTGTTCATTAGACTAGACATAATTAGTCCCTGCAACTTTTCATCATATAGCTTAGCTCCCAGGTCCCTTATCATCTTTGTGGCTTTTCTCTGCACTCTAGAGTCTCAGCATTTTTTTTTTGGTATTGTTAGCAGAACTGGATACATTATTCCAAGTGTGGTCTTATCAGTGCAGTATAAAGTGGTATTATCACTTCATGTAATCTTAATACAGGTAGTCCTTGACTTAAAACCACAACTGAGCCCAAAATTTCTGTTGCTAATCAAGACATTTGTTAAGAGAATTTTGACCCATTTCATGACCCTTTTGCCACAGCTTTTAAGTAAATCATTACAGTTATTAAGTAACATAGTTGTTAAGTGAATCTGGCTTCCCCATTGACTTTGCAGAAGATTGCAAAAGGTGATCACATGCCTGGGACACTGCAACCATCATAGATATGAGTCAATTGTCAAGAATCTGAATTTTGATGCCACAACAGTCAAAAGTGTGAAAAACAGTCATAAGTCATGTCACTTTTTTCAATGCCATTGTAACTTCAGTCACTAAATGAATTGTTGTAAATCGAGGGTTACCTGTACTATCCCTCTGTTGATGCAGCAACTTGTACATGGCCCTTTTTTGTTCCTCTTGTCTATAGGATTTTGCTTAGATATAAGGCACTCTGCTTTTCTATTTTTCTACAAATATCAGAGTTGAAGATGTATTTGCAGAAATTCCAGTCTCCACTGCTCAAATATCTTGCCACTTTCAATTTTATACACTTTAAATCAGTTTTGTCTCTATTGAACGCAGTGGAGTTTTTCTTTGGATTACCAAATTTTGGTTCCAAAAACCTAGTAACCACTAGATTGTAGAAAAGAGATGTGGAAAACATTCTTTACTATTATCCTATGGTCATCCAGAATTTTGCATTTCATATAAAGAAACCCTCGCCACTGTAATCAAGTCCATCTACCTTGCTGCTGTTTTCTTCTCTTCTTTCTTTCCACCATTTCCATTATTAGAGCCTTCTCCAGTTCTTTGCATAATATGTCCAGAGTATGAAAATTTGAGCCTGGCCGTTTCTTTTTCAAATGAACTTTGGGTCGATCTGTTTGATGATCCATTTGTCTCTTGGTATTTTCAGGAGTCTTCTCCAACATCAAAGTTCAAAAGCTTCAATACTCTTCCTATCCTTCTTCAAAGTACAACTTTTGCTTCCTTAAGAATATCACAGGGAATATTGTGACTTGAACATTTCTGACTGTTATATAGACACATTACAACATCTGAATATGTTTTCCAAAGACTTGATGGCTATTCTGCCAAGTAATATCTACACTATAATGATAGGGGATGTTTAATTTAGTTTGAATTAAGTACTGGATTCCCTTTTTCAAGTACTGTCCATAAGAGGAACTAAGATGGCACTAAGTCTGCATTAAATTAAGAAAATTAAACAGAATAACTGTTTCCATATTAGGAAACTTATATGCAACTATGTTTAATATTAGCGATCATGATACAGAATAGATTGAATGCATAGAATAAAGTACCATTGTAGGTCAATGGATATTGATCTTAAATTAGTTGAGAACTGTAGTTTAAATTAAGAACTGTAGTTTAAGTGTTAAAATTACAGTGTAGTTTTAACACTGCAAAGTCAATGTTAAAAAGTAACATGCTAGAAGTGCTCCATTGATTTGCCATTAGTTATTATGAAGTGGAGAAATGGCACAAGTGGAGTCAGAATAAGATCGCAGCAAACCCATTTTTAGGGCTATCGGATCCTTGCTGCAAATATTCTGACGACTACTAGATGGTAGAAAAGACATTCAGAAAAATTCTAACTCGATCCTGCCTTCCTCTGGTATCCGGATTTTGCAGTCCAGATCCGGTAACGCTATTTCTTTTTCATTGGAAATTACAACTAAGATAAGAGGCTCTCCTGGCCTAAACGCGCCCCATGGTAGGTTAACTTCGGGGTAGCAGCCAAAAACCTGAAGACATCCAGAACTTTGGTTCTTAATTTTTCTAGATCTATGAGGCAGTATTTCGTTGAAGGCAAAACACAGGCAGAAATGTGCTTCCGAGATCAAAGGAAATCAAACCGAATAAAAAGCAAGGCTCTCCGCGTAAGCTTCTCTTGAGAACCGGCTTATTGAAAGGCCGGCCTTTCGAAGCTAGCCTCCTCCTTTCCTTGCACGAGGGATCTACCGATTCCTACCGTCAGCTTTGAGCGCAGGCGCGCTCCTACCTGCGAGCTTGTCACCTCCGGGACAAGAAATTCCACCGCCGCCATCTTTGCTTTGGGCACTCTAGCCTTCTACTCCAGCCCCCTAGAGCCCCAGGAAAGCCAGCGACGCCATCTTTGTTGCGGGGCTGCTCAGGAGAGTTGAGAGGCGCCGGCGTTCGGGAGCCCGCTGGAAAAAAAAGGGGAGAAAAGCGAAGGAAACCGGGGCGTCTCCTCGTCTTCCTCCTCCTCCAGGCGCTCTGGGACGCGTTTAGTGTTCCTGGACTAGCCTGAGGATACGAGTGAGGAGAAGGACGAAGAAGAGAAGGAGCGGTGGCTTTGAGATGGAGAAACCGTTAAGGATGTAAGGAAAACCTTGAGGTTTTCGGATGAAATTCCACCCCTTGCCCTCAGGACCTTGAGGGGTGTATTCAGGGGACGAGTTTACCTGCTGCTGCCGGTAAGAAGTCCGTTTTCTTCCTTCAGGAACCAGTTTTAGGCTCTTCCCAGCTTTCTCTCTCTGAACCATAGCTCAAGTCTGGAATCTAGTTCCGGACCGCTTTGTAGATCTAAAAGATATGAGGCCGGTGCTTTTGAAGCCTCTGAACATGTGCAGAGTCCCTTCCTGGATGAAGCCTCTGCGTTTCTAAAGAGAACCGAGGCTTCTCCTTGAGGGAGGCATCCCCCCCTGGGGTCCAGATATTTTCCTAAGTTTAAAAAAAATAAATTCTGAAGGAGAGATGCCCGCCTTAGATCCAGAGATAAATGAGATTATTTTTGGAACCATAATATAGCTGAATAATGCTTAATTTATGAAGCTCGAAGATGCACTGAGCCATTTACTGCTTTATACAGGAAGAATGGCTGTAAGACTTCAGGGAATGAAAATACAAAGCTGTTCTATTTCATAAGGCAGTGCTATTTTAAAATATGTTGGGTTTTTTTTATTTCCACTAACCTGAAAAAAAAGGAAGTACAGGTATCTCAAACCTGTGGGATAAAAGATATATTTGTTGGTGAGAGCAGGAGAGGGAAATTAGAGGATTAACTTGAGGTCAGTGTATTGCTTCATTTAAATGCTGCCACTTCATTTAATAAACAGTTGGGAAATCTGTTCTGTAATGCAGAACACAATTAAATATAGGGATGGAAGACAACTCAGCTGCAGCTTGCAGTAATGCTGGGGCAGCAGTTTTACTGCAAAAAGATCAATCAGCAGAATACACTGCAGCACAGCGTACATGCATTTTTTTAATTCTCCAAGAATGAAATGAAAATCCAGGTATCCTAGATTATAGCACTAAACTTAGTGTTGTTGCTTTGGATAATTGGATATCTTGAAATGCTTTGACTTAACACAGTTGACTAGGCATATAAAGAGTTGAGTTATTGTGAAATTGTTTCTTTTATGATACTGAACTCTTGGGGAAGAATAGAAAGAAAAAATAAATGGATTAGGTAACAGTCATCAGAAAATATTTTATTTTCTAGATCTATGAGGCAGTATTTCGTTGAAGGGAAAACATCCTTCCTTATAAATATATCTCTGAACATACAGTAGTATATAAATAGGATTAGCCACATGTATAAAAAAGCCATGAATATATTCATGAAAAAAATTACAAATTATTCTCATATTGAATATATTAATTTTTCACATTGCATTAGAGGTAAGGGTTATGGTTTTGAAAAAAAGAAAAGAATAAATATAATTTGCTTAAATACAGGAAGAGTAAAGCAGGTATTGAAACCATCTGTTGTTTATTAATGTATGACATTTACTTCTTGCTGTAATTCTATATATACTATTTGACGCTCACAATATAAAGAAGCAGAATAGCAACAAATTTAAAGAACAATAAAAAATAAATGCACCTACATTCCAAATAACATCTGGTCTCATCCCCCAAATGCTTTCCAGAATAGCTACATTTTGAGAAGCTTCTAGAAGGCAACTGTAGTTGGAACCAAATGCACATGTAGGAGATCATTAGAGGGCCAGTCCAACAACAGGTGTGGGCTGTCTAACTTCCAAAAAATGGAGGACAACTTGCTGTTTCTCTTGGCAGGATCAAAATGGTTGGATTGATTCCAGTGGAGAGATGAGTGGTCCAAAGTAACCCAATACCAAACCTTAAAGGGTTTTATAGGTTAAAACCACCATTTTAAATTGTACTTGAAAGCAGATAGGAAACAGGGTCCACAAAATATGTGCATTATGTGCCCTAGCATTCAGGCCATGCATTTTGCACCAACTAAAGATTCACCATGGTATTTAAAAGCAGCCCCGTATAGAACATATTGTACTAGTCATAGTGATGAAGGTGCAACCTACCATAGGAAAATCTTTCTGTCCCAAGTAAAGTCATGATTGACATACCAGTGTAGCTGGGCAAAGTTTCCCCTGGCCACAACTTTGGAGATAGTGAATTAGAAAAAAAATGAGTTATCCACAAATTGCTATTTTTAATGGGGCTTGCGTAGAAACATGCTGATATTTATTTATTAACATTATATCCTGTCCCAATCTAATACTGTCAACAGCTTCCTTAGGGGGAAAAATGAAAGCATAGCTAAATAACATAAAAATAACATTAACAAAACACATGAGAAAACAGAAAGAAAAATAAATAAAATATGGTACAGTGCTTAAATTAAAAGAATGTCCTCTGAAATAACTCAATCTTTGAGCATTTTTCTGAAGGTTAATAAGGTAATGGCCAGTCTGATCTCTATTATAAGATTATTCCAAAACAGAAAAGCAGAGTCTTCTAACTTCACGCTCTCTCCCCACCTCATCCTGGAAGTGTGTGGGATTTATAAGTAGCTCCTTTCCAAAGAATCCAGTTAGTCAGGTCAATTCCAAGGAAGTGTTCCTTCAGATATCAAGCCGTAAAGGCCTTTATAACATAACACCATGTGTTTAGAGAGCTACCAACAGCCAATGGGCAATTAGTTCAAGGCCTGTAGACTTTGTGTTATACACCTATTGTTCAGAATTTATGAATATGTGAGCCGTTTTACTACATTGTAAAGCTGCATTGACAGAATCTTGCTAGTCTGAAAGTACAATTCTCCACCCAGACTCTTTACAACTGAGAAACCAGGGAGTATCTCTGCTGAGTCTCTTGCCCTGCCTATTATCCAGTATTCTTATCTAATTGTTCCCTTGACAGTATCTCTATGCCCGTCTCCCAAAGCCTTTCCCACACATCATTACATATATTCAGGTATGAACCCTAACTGAAAAAAGTCCAAATAATTCATTTCTTCTAAGGTACTATGACATTAGTCTACTACTGCTATCTCAATAACCTTCCCTAAAAAGGAAGGTTGGAGAATGGACAATAGTTATCTAAATTCTTTGGATCTGGGAATGGGTTTTTCCCAAGTAGTACACCCTTCTCCTTCAAAACTATTGATTAATCCCCCCTCTTGCTATTTCTTAGATCCATGCATCCATCCATCCTACTTTCCACAATAGCCAGGATGGGCAAAAGTCCAAAGAATAGGTGGCAAGTGATAACCTAGTTAGTGTCTAATCCATGTATTTGAAATTTATACAATAGACCAGTGATGGCAAACCTTTTAGAGGCCAAGTGCCCAAACCACAACCCAAAACCCACTTATTTATCGCAAAGTGCCAGGACATTGCGGTGCCCTCGGGGGGGGCATTGGGTGTGGCCCACTGAGTGGGCATGGTTGTGATTGTCACAGCAGACTGGGTGGGCGTGGTTGGGGTGGGCATGGCCACCTCGATGCTGCTCATGGGGGATGCCTGTGGGGGCCAGAAAGGTTTGGGGGAGATCCAGGGGGTCTCTGGCGGGTAGGACGGTGGGCAGGAGGCCCAGCATAGATGGGGGGAGGCATGCGATCCTAGCTGGGACTGGGGGGCCATGGCACCAGTGAGGACCCGGCTTTCCCTGCTCGGGGTGGCCTTTGGCTTGCTAGATGTGGGCGTGCTCTACCACCTCTACTCGAACTCGCTAGCTGGCCGCTTTGCCTCCTTTGGGCTGGGTGCGGCTGCCACCCCAGGCAACAGCAGCAGCCTAATGGACCTGCACAAGCTACTGGCAATGGTGGCACGCATGCCCACAGAGAGGGCTCCGAGTGACACCTCTGGCACGCGTGCCATAGGTTCGCCACCACTGCAATAGACTAGAAGGAATTCCAAAATAATAGGATATGTTGCCCTAGCTAGTTTGTTTTTGGGATTTATGTGCCACCCATCTCCAGAGGTTACTTCAACATTAGTTACATCAAGTACTCTGCCCATATGAAGTCAAGAATATAGAAAATTAGAACAACTCTGATGAAATGCTGTGCAAAATGACCACAGTAACCAGTCGAAAGCCATTTATTTCAAATAGACAAGATTTCAAAAATACACCAACATGCTAGTTGTATACCTTAATTCAAAACACTATATTGTCCCTTGTTCTTTTTTACATAATATCATTTGTTCTGTTGTGAAGTATAACCACTACTTTAAAAACACTGGAAAATAAAGGAAATAGCTTCTCATTGTATCCTTTAGCTCAGCTAAAGGAGAAGTGAGAAGAACAAGGATAATGTAAACCCAAGGCTAATCTGGGTATATTTTTTTACCAATAACACTTATTTAACATTGCATCAAAGGGATCAAATATTTCTTCCAACAGTATGTTTAACTGCATATTGATTTAAATGTTTTTTTGAGGTTTTGGCAAGAAATTCCAATGGGTGATGCTATTGAATATTTTCCTCCATTACAAGCTCAATAATTGTCATGAAGGCTAAAACTTAAATCTAGTTAATCTTCTAGTAATAAAACTCATCTTCTGATCTGAAAAAAGGCAACTGTGTGTGCTAAGTCCTAAAAGCAAAGTCTCTCCATGTCACTAATGTTATAGAATTACAAATTAGCATTTAATGTTTTATATTGGGTTGTGAACTCTACAAAACATAAAAGGAATCACCATTTACATAGAAATGTGAAAAATAAATAAATACTATATTGTATTATAGTCATCCATGCAAGGGAGGAACAAGGGATGAAATGTATATTGCAACATGAATTCTGTGCTTTTCATGCTTGTCTGCAATGTCATGGTGCAAATTAAGGTGAAGCTTATGTTGTGATGTCACAGTGCATGTTTCATCATTTTGGCATCATTGTGATTTGGAATCAATGTTTATGTTGCATTACATAGCAATGGCAATGGCACTTAGATTTATACAGTGGTTCATAATGCTTTACAGCACTCTCTAAGCAGTTTACAGAGTCAGCATATTGCCCCCAACAATCTCAATCCTCATTTTACCGATTTCGGAAGGATGGAAGGCTGTTGAGCTGTTCAGAATCGAACTCCTGGATTGAGCAGTGAGTTAGCTTGCAGTACTGCATTCTAACCACTGCACCACCATGGTTCTTACATAGAGTATATTCACAGTTTTTCTTATTAAGTGTTTTCCAAATTTGATTTAGATATACTAACAAGTACCAGGATATTATAAAACAAGTCCTACTGTAAAGCAAGCATTTGATTTATTTTAATTGTGTATCAAAAGCATTTCTTACAAAAATAGTATTTGAAAGGGAATCTTTGCAAAGCTTGCTGGCACTCCTTCTGAAAGCATTATAGTAGCCATATCCGTTGAAAGACTGACAAAACTGCTTTGAAAGTTGTTCCCATGGGCATGCACAAAAATACTTTTGCTAGGTTACATAGGCACATATGGCTGATGACAGCTTATGAAGCAGCCATATTTGGAGGAATGATTCATTTGTACTAACATGTTCTGTGGTCCGCCCCTTTTCAGTGCTTTTCATAGCTCTAGTCTTCAATCGTCCATTCTTTTTTTTTTTTGCGTTATTCTATATTCATTCCATAATGTTAATATAAATGATATAAAATTATATAATCTTTTTCATTTTTAATAAACTTTGCTGCATATTGTTTGTTGTACAATTACATTTCATAATACTATAATAGTATTTTGTTCTTGATATGTAGATGATATTGTTTATAAATACTTGAACGTGACTGCGATTAAAATGCCACACCAAAACAATGATTGCTCACATTTGGAATCTGTTGGTGAGATAACCAAAGAAGACTTGATACACAAATCTCATGTGAGTTTCTGTTTATAATCTTTTTGTTGTATTCATCTTTGCTTCATTCTTAAATTCTCATCTTTGTCATTTAAGTAAGGTCAGTGTGTGTTAGTTGTTAAGGTGTTATTAAATTAATGATTGGGAAGAAGTCATGAAGTTTTACTTAATTTATTAAGTGGAGAATGTAGATATCATGTATTTATGGACTAGATGTAATGTACATTAATAAAAGATTTTGAAACCAAAAATGTCATAATATTTTAGTAACATAATTTGTACATGCAATACTTGAAAAATCAAAATAAGCATCTATTTTAAAATAATAGTTTTTAAGTTGTTATGCAATAAGTATTTAGTATTTCCAGTATAATAATAGAGTTTCTCTTTTTTGTTCCATATTAGCTAATTTTATTAACTAACTGCCTGATTCCTTGATGTTTTTATAGGGGACTTGTCAAGACTGCAAGGTAAAAGGACCAAATCTGTGGGCATGCTTAGAGGTAAGCAGAATTAACATATATAATATGCAATGACTAAGAGTTTCTCTTTCTGAAAATGCAGCTTTGCCAGGCATTAACTCTGCAACCACTATTTATTCATCAATGACTGTGATTGATCTCTAGTCAGAACTAGAATTATTTGAAATTTCTGGATGGTGTGATTGTATGCAAATTGTATATTGTTTTCTTAATGAGGGCTACATTTCAAATCCATTTTTGAGCTCTGCTTAGCATTTGCAAGGTTGGCAATCAAGTCTAGTGCTCTAACAGTCGAACCACAGTACACAGGTTAACATTCCATTTTTATTGGAAATGTGGGATGAAATGTATGTTAAGTTCCTATTACGTTGTTCCAGAGAACATTTTTAAGATAATTGAGGAGAGCCATATAGTTTTATAAAGTCTCTTTTGTGAAAAAATAGTTTACTACATAAATGGAATGGCATATGAAAAACTTTTTAACATGTGCCTGTGTTTTCTTACTGAAGTCACTTTATATTTTAACTCTTAATTCTGTTAATCAGAAGAATTTAGTGTAACATACATATAAACTGCCTTATAATAATTTAACATTAAACTAAGAATTTATATCAATTCAAATAAATTGATGCATTTCATTCTTTATGTTTTTGTTAGCTATTCAATTGCATAACAGCTTTCCAGGGAGATATAATTTTTAACCATGCTTATAAACATAAGCTTTCTACGTTATCATAGTCATTTATCTTTAGTCAGATAAATGAATTGCATTTGAAAAGCATTGGTCGATGTTAAAGATCATTATGTAATGTTATGAAACCTTTTTATAATATATATTTTGCTTCAAGTAATTATAGGGTTACGGATAAAGTTTGGCCATATAAGACTAATTGTTGAATAGGGTGCCTTGGAAATTAAATTTATAAATAAATATGCATTTGATATGATTTAAGCAATCATTGAAAAGAGTAATAGCTCTAAAGGATACATAATTGACTGTAAAATGCTATATTTTTATATATAACTTTATTAAATTGTTTTTAAAAAGGAAGATAAAAACTAATGTAAAGTAAACAGAAAAGAAAAAGAAAAAGTCAGAAAGAAAGCTAAAATGCAGGAAAGGGAAAAAAAGAAAAAAAAAGATACAAAGAAGTGAACTATGTGGTCGTATGTGTGAAACATTTTATCCAATGGGCATTGTTTCCTGGAAAATGGCAAAAAAAAACCCAAACCACACAAAATGTGATTATATAGCTGCAGGATGTTGCAACCAGCTGGTTGCCAAGTGTCTAAAATGTAATCACGTCACTATGGGTGTGGTGCAGCAGTTTGTAACTTCAAGAACTAATCATAAGTAATTTTTTTTGAGTATATCACAACTTTCAATGTTAAGCGACCAGTCTTAAGTCAAGGACTGCCTGTATCTCACGATAATTTAGTTATTTGTGTTTGCCTATTATTCCTTGTCTATAAAATGCTTCTTGTGCTGAGAGCCATAAAAGTGTTTTGGAGCACAATCTGTGTTTGGATCTATTCTCAATACGGCACATCTAACATAATGATTTTTAAAATTTACATTAACCTTAATTTTATTGTACCACAAATAACCATGCATTTTTCTAACTCTTAAGCCTTCTATTTCTCAGCAGCACCCCTCTTTTATCCAATCCAAAATACAAGCTGTAAGCTACAAAATAAAAGCAAGCTGCAGAATATAATTTTAAAATAGGTAGACCCCATTTTCCTTTCCTTTGCATCTTGAAATATATTTAACTCATGTTTTTTCCTGACACACAAATCTAGATATATCCTTCTGCCACTGTTTAAATGGTGCATCAGTTGTCAAAACAAGTATTGTTTAAAACAAAAACATCACTCTAGGCAAGACATTCAATTTTATTACAGAGAGTCTCCCCAAGCAATTCAGTTGTAGTTTCTGTATGATACTGTACTGAACCTAAAAATAAAATAAACATCTGGATTGTTTATTACAAGGGCAAAACATTAATTTGTAGGTAATTCAGCTTCTAAAATAAATACAAATCCTTTTAGCAGAATATAAATTCCTTTATATGGTGATTGAAGGGAATAGCATTTCACTTCTGGTTTTGTAATTTTTTGTACTGTTAGAATGGATAATTATTTATGGAAACCTAAATAGAAAATGCTTTGCTGTGAATTAATTAAAATGGTTCCAAAAGATTGCATAACAGATTTGTTAATATAAGTATGACCATTTTGGTCCTTTCCATAAATCTTTTTCCACAATCTTATTCACCATGCCTCTTCAAAGGCTTTCTTTGGCACTATCATTGTTCTATTTTTAAGGTGATTCTAGTAGTTATTTGCTATGGTGTAGGGCAGTGATGGCGAACCTTTTAGAGACCGAATGCCCAAACTGCAACCCAAAACCCACTTATGTATCGTTGGATGCTGGGTGGGAGTGGCCAATTGGGTGGGCGTGGCCCATTGGGTGGGCATGGCTGCGGTGGTAATGGCAGACTGGGTGGGACTAAAAAGTGCAATCAATCAATTCCAACTTTGTGAGATCTTTTTTTTTTCTGAGAGAAGTTGAAATTGATTGATTGGTTGAACTTCTTTTATTTCACACGGCGGTGGAGGCCGAAAGCAAAAAGGTTTTATAAAACCCAGCTGAAGGCCTGCGTGCCCACAGAGAGGGCTCTGCATGCCACCTGTGGCACGCATGCCATAGGTTTGCCACCACGGGTGTAGGGTTTCCTGCCTGAGCAGAGGGTTGGACTTGATGACCTCCAAGGTCCCTTCCAACTTTATTATTATTATTATTATGTTCTATTTCCTATGAAACCTGCAGTGGGTTTAGGTGTTTATTATTGTAATGGATTGCATCTTGTTAATGGTTACTTTGTTTGGTTTAACAGAATAGATGCTCCTATGTTGGTTGTGGGGAGTCACATATAGATCATAGCACCATACATTCAGAGGTATGTTTGCATATTCGTCTGACAGTTTATACAATCTTCACAGTTCAGAATTTCTTGATGTTCTGTGGTTACACATAGCATTCTATCCTGCCACATTTTTCTAATGATTTATTTATATGCATGATTAACAGAAATTTGAATAGCTTTATGTTGGAATCCCCGAATAATTCAATTATGTATAATTTATTCAGTAATTTATATACTATTTTTCTGAGGAATTCGGTGAGCAAAAAAAAAATTTGAAAACAAGCATATAAAAATATGAAAATATTAGCCAAACTAAGGAAATGAAAACAAGTTATAATTCTGAATTATTTAATTGTTCAAGAATGGTTTATTAAAATCATAGTCATCTAAATTGATATTGATAATAATGTTTATTCTGAATACTGAATAAGGTATGTGGAACAGGTAAAATATAATCTTTGTAAGCTGCTTTTAAGCATTAAACTATTTGACGTGTATATTGTTTGCCAATATTTTGATACTTTTGTTAGTAATATGATAACTAAGTGAATAGCTACTAATGTTCACAGTATGCAATGAAGTAAAATGTGTTTGTTTGATAAATGTTTATGAAAATTATAACATGTTATGATTGAACTTGTAATTCCCAAAATATTTCTACTAAAGGGGGCATTATGTAGAAACTTGATGTTGGAAGAGAAATGATTGCAAAACACCATTTCAATTCCGAACCAGTAAAACTGCATTATTTTGCAGTACTTGAGATTCTTGAAGCAAGGGAAACACACTCTAAACCAGGGGTCCCCAACCCCCCGGTCCGTGGACCAGTACCGGGCCGCGGCATGCCAGCAACCAGGCCGCACAAACAAAGCCCCATCCGCAGGATGCAGGCAGCACACAAAATCACACTCTCTGCGGTCTATGGAAAAACCTCTCTCCACGTAACCGGTCCCTGGTGCCCAAAAGGTTGGGGACCTCTGCTCTAGACAACATTAATCTGAACAAGAAATGCTCTGTTCCATGGAAAGGATACTAATAATTATACAGGGCCAGGAGATTTGCTGTTATTTTGTTTGGTATGGTATTCCCTTGAAACTGTTGACCTTTTAATATATGTGGACTTAACCGTCTCTCTCACTCATTTTCCTTGTGCATGATCTGCTAAAGATTATATAAAGTACAAATTATAAGGCAATAATGGTGGTGGGTGGGTAAATATATGAGTCAGTATTTGAGATGCTATATCAGGAGCAGAGAATCCCAGGTTTTAATTGTCTCTTAAAGAAGCAAATTGGCTAATTTAGGACCACTCATTCACTCATTCTTAGACTCTCGATTGGAATCTGTATACTAAAAGCATAGGACCACAATAGGGACAATTAGAGTCTATAATCATTAATAAAGCTGCAGTGGATTGATTTAGACTGTGTCTGGATGTGTATACAGAATATGTACAGTACAAAGAGAGAGAGTTATACTGTGCACTTCATATTGGTGTTGACCATAATAAAAAAAATCTCATTTATTAGTATTTTGTTTTCTAGGAAACAAAGCACTGTTTAACAGTTAATCTTACAACACTTCGTATCTGGTGTTACGCATGCAGCAAAGAAGTGTTTCTGGATAGAAAGCTAAAAACTCATTCTTCCTTACAAAATGTACGGTTATCTTCCCCTGGTCCAGAACATATCATACAGGTAATCAGGCATGAATTCTACTAGGATTTTATAGGGCGATAACATTTCTTGCTATTCCTGTTGGGATTTGTAATATTGTAACTAGAAAAGGAGAGTTTTATTCTTCTGTCTGACAGCATGAAGAAAAATATTTTAAAAGAAGGTTTAATATGAGAAATGTATGCCTTTACAAAAGAATTGTGCTTATAAATGTTATAATATAAATGTTAACAAAATATAACTGTTTTTGCAATCCTAGGTGATTTCCTTGAAAATCAAAATATGTATCAGTATTTATAATTGAGACAGTAATATAGCTATTTTTATATAAGTTATGTTTGTGTTGTGGCTTTGAATCCAAACAGCTCCTCACCAAGGATTTTTTGGCGAGTATTAAAAAATTAATTAATTCTTTAAATATTAAGTATTAAGACCTGCAGATTGACAAGAGAAGAATATTTGATTTAGATATATTTATGTAGAAATATGCTTAAAAGTAATAAAATAATTCTAGCTTTTACTGCATGTTTTTTGTAGTATACATGTCTCAATTCCTTCTGTGAATAGACTGTGTTTATTTATGTGCACAATATTTATTTAAACTATGATCTATCTGATAACAGAACTAAGAAATATCCCAAAATATTACATCAAAGCTATTGCATCGTTAATTTATAATACGCAGCTATTCTATAAAGCAGATGAAACCATTTCTATTGCCAGACAGTATGTTGTGGCAGATTTATGTTCCTACATGAGAGTTTCTTTTAGCCAAGTTATATTATTCAATGAAATTATGATATTATACATCATTAAATTTTTGGCTTTGCATGGAAAACATATACTGGAAATTGATGTAAATATCTTCATAGACTCTTTAGGAAAAAGAAAAAGAAAAGTCATAATGTTTTTGAAGAACGCTACTTAGAATTTGCTTTTTTTAATCTTTCATTAAGGATATTAAGCTACCCAGTATCCCTACACTGAAAATTCCTTTAATTGCAACATTTGATGACCTAGATGTACAAGTTGATGAAGAAGATGAATTAAAGGCTAGAGGTAATACAATAGGGTAATTCACATGACTATTATTAAATGAACAAGTTAATAATATAATTGCAATTAATTGATTTTTAAGGGTTAACAAAAATGTTCTGTTGCTAGGATGTGCTTGGTTTCTCATGGGAACATAGCCTAAAAATGGGAATGTAGTTAGATGGCAAATGTCACACATTGTCATATATGCAGATTTCTGTATGATAGTATTATAGTAACATTGTTTTCAGGATAAAAAATACTCAGAAATTCTGTAAATACTATAAAAAAGCTGATTCTAAATTTCTACAGAATGAAGACTTATTTATATCCTGTACACACTGTAACTTTTTCATTGGCTTGCTAAGCAGTGTTTCTTATATACAGGTTTGACGGGCTTGAGAAATATTGGAAACACCTGTTACATGAATGCAGCTTTACAAGCACTTTCAAACTGGTAAAAAAATGAATATAAAACTGTTAGTGTTTTCCTTTCCTTTAGCCAGAAATTTCAGTCAGAAATCTAGGGAAAAGATAAAAGATAAATAAGTAGCCATGTAAGAGAGTTACCTTATTTATTTATTTTATTTATTAATTGCATTTATATCCCGCCCTTCTCCTTACGGACTCAGGGCGGCTGACAAATTCGATAAAATACTAACATATATACATATTATGCCTAATTAAAAATTTAATTAAAACGAAATATTTAAATATGTCCAATTAAAAGTAATTTAAAACCCCTATAAAATCCCTTAGGCCAGTCCCGC